ACTCGCTTCTCTCTGATGATGCTCCTTTGTGTTACTCCTTTCCCCTCCCTCTTACCTTAGACTTTCCATGGAGTTTTCGAAAAACTTTCTTTACTTTTAGATGGATCGAATACCACAGAAGAAAGGAGAACCACTGAAAACAGTGGTCAAGAAGGACTCTCTCACCAAGACACCGTCTCCAGCAAAGGCGTCTTCAGCAAAGGCGTCTCCAGAAAAGGCGAACATGAACGGGCACGTCGTCAACACAAAGAAAACCGCTGAAGGTCTGGCTGGACTCTATGGTTAGTAAAATGACATTATCATCAGTTTTATCCTTGTATGTCTTTTCAAGTCCTTTGAGATTTTCTTCATTTATAGTAATGGCATGGTTGGCTTTTGCTTTTGCGTTTTATCACCAAGTTTGGACCTTAATCGCATTTCGTGCATGTTAACTCTATATTTCATGATATCTTTTGGCGTCTTGATCAAAATTGTACCCATCGCGCTAACATAATTTGACGAGGAAGGTTTTTGAACAGCTGTTCTTGTTCTGAAGCAACACTAAACCATGCAAGATGTAGCTATTTACAACAGTACACTTCTTTTACTAATTGTGACATACAGGCAAGTAAAAATTTCTCAGAAGCCTTATGCATAGCCAATCCACAGTTGGTGGCGGCACATCTGCGGGCGCTGCGACAATTGTGTCGACACATAGCCTCGACGCAATATCTGCTTTAGTAACTATGCATGCGCCTCATAAGCATTACTGGCCCACCACCCTTTCACTCTAAAACTCGATCATATATGCACCGCCGAGAGGTGAAAAAGTTTGCTATTTATGTTAGCGGAAATTCCGTAGAGTAATGGGAATGGAATTTTTAGCGAAAAGCGATACTTTAGCATTTTAAGCTCACTGTACATTACATTTTGAAGTCATGTTGAAAATAAGGAAACTTGGGTTTATTTTCTCCTTCAAAAACCATCATCTATATTTTCTTTTTTATTTAAGCAGCTTTGGATTTTTGCTTTGCTTTTTAGATTCGGACGATGATGAGGCGAACGTAAAAGACGGAGGTCTTGATGCTTTATTCCTTGTTAGGAATAAACCGGAAGAGGTGTGTCATTTGCGTGGAACCATCTGAGATGGTTTTTGAATTATTTTTTATTAGATAAGTCACTGATATAATGGCTTAGATTGAAAAATATGTAATTCATCTTCGGAAGATGCTGCTGGAAGGCGAAGGTGAAACTGTCGTTGAAATCGGTGTTCCCATAGAGCAGGGTGGAAAAGGTTACATCCATTTTGTTTTGTTTTGTTGATCCTTCTCCGTCCGTGTGCCTGCTTCTTATCATATTTTTTTGTTATAGCCTCTGGCATCCCAACAAAGGATTTGGAAACCGCGGTTGCCAATCATGTGAAAGCT